CCTTAGGTTTCGTAAATCCGCATACAATCCACATCCGAAGACAGTGCCACGTCTTGAGCAGTTGATTACTTCAGCCAGTATGCTGAGTGTGGGCGAGAGATTGGGGGTTTGTTTTACTTCATTCGTCATAGAAGAGTTATTTTGGTCTGGAATTTATCAAATGTATTGACTTTGCAGCCAATGCCAAATTGGCCGTTACAAAATCGCTTCCCGACACCTGAAGAATTAGAAAGATTTCGAAAAGGAGAAAATCTAACTCCATTCTGTCCTGTGGAGCCCGAAAGGTAAGTACGTGCTTTAGATAGCAATCGTACCCTGTTATGGTTTTGTGCTTCAGAAAGAATTGGTTCCTCTTTGACATTATGAGCTCGATTGAGTGGGCGAAGACATTCTCCGTTTTCCATAAGTTAAATCGTCAAGATCAGGTATTTCCCTTTTTCATTGACATATAAGAATCAAGGCTACTCACAAAGTATGTGGGAATGCATGTTACACTTTTTAACTTCAAACTTTCTTCTATGCGCAGTCTCCCGCAACCGCGCCGCAACCGCGCGCGCCTAGTTTTTCACGTCCTGGTTAGGGCTCGGCACGAGCTGGTATCAAGAAAATTTTCAAAACGAGGTACCCTTTGATTTTGATAATTTCGTACGAAGTCCTTTTTCAACTCAAACCCTAAACGGAAAGAAACCTGAAAAAAAACGAACTTCGACTAGAAAATCGTTGCAATTTTTGTGTCTCGACCGCAAAAAACGATAACCCCTTTGCTTTTTGTCCCAAAAATGATATCCAGCTTGACGCGTGCCAATTGTGTCAATCCCTGTTTCTAGTTCTCATGTCAAACCTTATAGTTACGGTAAGTGAAAAATTACCTCGAAGCCTTTGGTAGGTCTACCTTGGGTGGGATTGACAAGACATGAAAACTTGTAAAACAATGTCCTTCAAAGTTTGTAAACAGAGAAAGGTCTAGCCCTCCACTGCAGATGCTGCGTACGCGCACGTAAAAGACTCGCTGCAGTTGAGACAGACTGTAGCTTTCTGAGCTGCAAATGTAGCTAGGGAGCGGTTGCGAAGCGGTTTGCGAGGAGTCTGTAAACGCGATTTAAGTCTCGTATTTACCTGTCTCTTGTGTTTATAACCACGTATTTCAGATTGTTCTCATGAAAGCAGTAGTTTTGATGTGTTTCAACGTTACTCAAGCATTTTTCTCCTATGAGCAGAAATCCTCTACCGTAATCCATCCAGACGGGACTAC